CTCTCCGAGCAGGAGCTGGGAAGGGCCAGGGTCTCGAGGGGCGAGAGCGGGTCGGGGCGGACCCGCCGGGTCTCCGGGAAGCCGGCGGCTCCCGAGACGCCCCCCACCGGTCCCGCCCTTCCGAGTTGACAGCGCTGTCACCTGCACCTCTTGACTTGAACAGTGTGGTAGTTGGGAAACCGGTGGGAAGATGGGCAGTGACTCTCGCAGAGCCGCACTGCTGGCGGCTGATAGGATGGGCACTTGCATTTCACATCTAGTGTAAGTTTGGAGAAAGCAGACACAGGGGTGGTGAACGACCAGGCTGGCATAAGAGCCCGTGGCGCTGGGAAGTGGTGTTGCGAGGTGGTGGGCATCTTTGTCATTTCTGTAGGTTCCCGCAGCCGTCCTTTTGCCAGGAACGGGAAGGGCGGTTGAGGGGACTGGACTCCCAGCTCTGGGGTTCCGTTGAGAGCAGTTCAGATTCCATGGTTAGACAGCTGGAAGACTTGAGTCTCTTGGATAAAGGAGGATGGAGTTTGAGCTGCCGCCTTATTGCTTACAGCGGCTTTGTTCCAGGCAGGTGCAAATCTGTTCTTTTCATTCTGGTGTATAGCATGCATCAGTTCTCACCGGGGATGGCATATACCCTTGAGAAGAGGGTGTACAGGCTAAATTTCCCGTGGGATGGAGAGCATGGCCCTGGTCTCATCTCGACAGATGGAAGGACTTGCCTTCCAGAGCAGAGCTGCTGCCTCACCCCGGGTGGGCCTTTATCTGTCTGCCAGGCTCACAGCTCTGAGTGCCTGCGCCTCCCTGTTCTCCCTTGCAGTCTGCTTTCCATGTGCAGGATGATGGGGAGGTGGAGAGGGCAGCTGTGTTGTGCAGGGGTGGAAATGGTGGCCTGCAGAAGGCGAGGGCTCTGCATGCACAAGGCCAGGGTTCTTGTTAAACGGAAAATGCAGACTCAAACCAAGATTCTTCATCGTTTTTTTGGGGTGGGGAGCAGTGTTTCCAGTCTAATACTTAAGGGAAATCGGTGAGAGCTGGCTGCTTTTCTCAGGAGAAAAACACCTGTAGGACTTCACACCTTTGGTTGCTAACTGTGACTGGGAAACTTGCGCACGTCCCGCCTGGGAGACAGCCTGGTGTGAGGCCAAGACAAGCCTAGATGGGGGCGCAGGCTCTTTGCTGCTGCTTGTCCTTGGCCCTTCGTCCCCAGGTCTGTGGAGCACACTCGACCTTCAGAGCCAGACAGACCAGGTTCCGATCTCAGGTCTGTAACTTTTGAGGCCTTGTTTTATATTGTCTCTAAAATGTGTAAAAAGACCCAATTCTCCTGTCTGTTCTGAAGGTTGCAGCGTCATACGTAAAGTTACAAGCAGAGTGGGAGTCGGACTGGCAGCATTGGTCCGTCTGCCGTGGGGAGACTTCTTTTGGACCCTGTTGCCCTCTCAACTTTGCAAAGTGAGTTTTGTGATCCTCAGTTTACAGACGAGGGAACTGAGGCTCAGGAAGTCTTGGTGCTCAGCAGATGTCAGATACCTCTCTTTTTGGTACGTGGCTGAACACAGCAGTGACAGTTACTCATGTCGCTGTTAACCTGTGGTTAGCACTGCTCTGGTCGTCATGCTTGCTGCCCCTGTCATGTGCTTCGTTTCTGACTCCCAGAAGCTAGGCTTTTTGTGAGTGCTTCTGAGGGAGACGTCCCACCTGACTGCTGGACGCCTCGTCTTGGGAGCCGTCTGTCTGTCCTGCTGGTGTCTGATAGTCAGCAGCTTGGTGGTATATTGTCCTTTTATGCCTCCATTTCTTCTCTGAGAAATTGGCAACATGGGCTCCCAGTTAACCCTGAAGAAAGTGGCCACTCTGGATGCTGGAATATTTTATGGGCTCTGAGAGAGCATTGGGGGAAGGGGCTACCCGAAGGCACCCCCTGACCGGGCGGCTGGCAGAGCTGATAGTGCCTGGAAAGGCTCCCCGTGACCCTTCCCTTGTTTGCCTCTAGAAAGGAAGTGGCCATGGAAGACCTGGGGGAAAACACCACCGTCCTGTCCACCCTGAGGTCTTTGAACAACTTCATTTCTCAGCGAGTGGAGGGAGGATCGGGACTGGACGTCTCCACTTCTGCCCAGGGCTCTCTGCAGACGCAGTACCAGCAGAGCATGCAGGTGAGTGGTGTGCATCGGGACGCCTGCCCCTAGGCAGGGCGGGTTCACATTCCATATAGCTGAGGCAGGTCGGTGTTTTCTCCGCCTGAAGGCCAGCTGGCCACCTCCCGCATGTCCAGCATGGGTAGTCATAGTTTTGGTGGCTAGCTGGAGGTCATGGTCCGGCCCTGAACCGTCCTGGCTCAGAAGCCTGAAGTGACAGCAGTGCCTCCAGAGTGGGTCTGGAGTTCAGCACTGCGCTCACACTAATGAGCTCACAGGCACTGAAGACGGGGTGGGAAAGTCAGCTTCTTCATTTAACTGAGGAAGAAATCCCACACCGCCGGGCGTGTGACCACTGAACTGTCCAGCCAGCCGCTGGCCCCCTTGCTGGTGTAACTCTGGGGAAGGCTGTGCTTTAAACATAGGTTCTTGGTCAGCCTGGCAGGAAAGGCAGGGCAGTGAGTGAAGGACTGGGTAGTAATGGTCTCAGACCACAGGGGCCATTTGTGGATCTTGGCTGCACTCTGCCATGGGGTGTTTTTACAGTTTTACTCTGATTATGGTCTCATTTCACTAAATTTATTCCAAGTTCTCAGCAACGCTTACGTAAGACACAGTTGTAAAGGCTCAGGTCTCCTGAAGGTCTCCAGGTTCCGAAGAGTCCTGGGGTCTGTGCTGGTCGTGGCAGGGATCGTGGGTCCTCACGGGGAGGGAGGTGGTGTCTGAGCCTTGCCCTGGCCCTCCCTGCGTCAGGTGATTCCTGGCTTCTCTGCCTGCGTCCCTCCTGTCCTGTCAGCCTTCCTGCTGTGATGCTCTGTGTCAAATGAGCTGGTGCTTTCCTGTCGCTCTGAGAGCTCCTACGAGCCCAGGCCACGTTCCGTAAAACAAAGGCTGGGGTGTCTGTATGTGTGTGCATGCTGAATAATTGAATTTCTGTAGTTTGTTAGTGGGTTAAGTTGCTCACTACGCTTCTTGGGCAAGGACTGTTCTTTTTTCTGAAATTAGGTCTTTTATGTTTGGTTTTGGTTTTGGTGTTAAAACACGGTATTGGGGTGGGAATAGATTGTAGTTTTTTCTTTTGAATCCTTGCTCACTGACAAAATATGAAGTTGGCAACTTTGGTTTAAAAAAGTGTTACAGGGTAGGTACAGCCCAGTGCTTAGAGAGTGCACCTAATATGTTTAAAATGAAGATTCTGGTTAGGTATCCGGGTGGTGCAGCCTGAGATTTTGCATTTCTGTTACATGCCCAGGAGGTGCTGGGCTGGGCAGGCGTGGTGGGGCTCTAGCCCACCTGAGGGAGAGGCCACTGCAGTCAGTGATTCCGTGAAACTGATCCCTGTGTCTTCTGAGGCCCTTCAAGACTTGAATTCCCCCTATTTACCTGCCTTCTGAGAGAGGCAGACTTCTGAGATGGGCCCCAAATTGCCAGCCCCCGGTAGACTGCACTTTCTCCCATTTATTCAAACACTAGCTAGGTGTTGTGGTGGTGGAGTTCTGCAGACAGAATTAATATCTCCGATCAGTTGACTTTCAGGTAGTGAGGACACCTGTGTGGGCCTGAGCCAGTCGGGTGGGTGCAGAGATCAGACAGAGAAGTCAGAGGTGCCCAGCGGGAGAGGGACTCCGCTCGCGCAGAGTCTCCCCTGTTGGCTTTGGAGGTGGAGAGACCCCATGGCAGGGAATGTGGGTGGCCCCTGGGAGCTGACGGTGGTGCAGCCGGACAGCCAGCAGGGAAGCGTGAGTGTGGAAGAGGCTCCTGAGAACACGGCCTGCCGACTGCAGGGGTGCCGGCCTGTTGAGACCCTGATCAGAGGAGCTGGCTGTGCATGCCCGGCCTCTGACCCATGGGACCGACAGCCGGTACACGGGCGTTTAAGCTGCTGAATTTGTGGTAGTTTGGTACACAGCGTAGGAAACGAACCTCCTCTTTTCTGAGAGAAGCCCACATGCTGTCATCTGAAAGCACACCCTTCTCTTCCTTCTTTGTCACCTTCTCTTGGCTTGCTGCCTCCGCACCCACGTCCTCCCCGAGGCCCGGTGTTCTGCCTTCTCCCCCGGGGCTGAGAGAGGGCCTTGCTGGGGGCAGGTGCTCAGTGAGAGAGTGCAAAGGGGCCCTCGCCTGTGTGACGCAGCCACCGAGGATCTGTCTTTCCTCTGTGTGTTCCTGGCCAGTTGGAGGAGCGAGCGGAGCAGATCCGGTCCAAGTCTCACCTCATCCAGGTGGAGCGGGAGAAGATGCAGATGGAGCTGAGTCACAAGCGGGCTCGAGTGGAGTTGGAGCGGGCTGCCAGCACGAGTGCCAGGAGCTATGAGGTGGGTCAGGGCAGCCCCGGAGCCCAGAGGTGGTGGTGGCGCCGGCCGGGCTGCGGGGAATCAGAGCCCTGCCAGCCAGGAGCCCGCGTGCTCTTCCGCCAGGTTTCTGGGGCTTGCCTCTCAGGCCGCCTGATGAGGTGGGTCAGGCCGCAGGTGTGCCCTGTGTCCCCGAAGAGGGCAGCACCAAGGGCTGGCTGCCCTTCCTGCCCAGTGTGGTGCTCATGGGCATCCTCCTCCACTGACTGCCTGGTTTCTCTGTCTTTCTGCAAGCACTGGGGTGCAGATCCTGCAGAAAGGCTGGGTGGCCTGAGGGTAGCAGGTTGGAGAGTCACCGGGTTGCATAAGGGGCTCAGGTCCAGGCTGGGTCTTGCTCAGATGATAACAGGGCCTCAGAACAAAGAGTGCTGGTCTTGGGGCTGCTTCCTGTTGCCCTTGGCTTGCGCAGGGCAGGCTGAGAAAGCACCGCCCCCTGTAGCTCAGGGGAGATGCTTGGTTTTTACCTAGTTCATAAATTCCGTGCTTCCTTTGCTTTGATTAATCTCACTTTGCCAGGGTTCTCCAATAAGTGCTGATGAGTTGTGGAAACGCTGCCAAGGTTCAAGCAGAGCATTGGGCCAGAAGGCCTCTGGCCTCTGTGCTTTCCCTGGGGATGGCTGTCTGGCCCCACTCTTGCCTTGCGTGGCGTATCCATGCAGTTTCCTAGTCCCTGTAAAAACAGCTGATGTCTTCCAGGGTGCAATGCTAATTAGGTGTGTTTAAGCCCGGCGTGCAGGTTCCTGGCTGTGGTGTGTTGTGTGGACCCAGCAGCCCAGAGACCCAGCCTGCAGGTGGGGTACCGCTGCCCCCGCCTCGGCCCTGGTGCTGCTCCCGGTGGTGTTTCTCTGTGAGGTGGGGCTTTTGCTGATGCACTGGGTTGTTCCAGGAAGGACCGTCCTTGGAACCGGGGGGAGGGGGAGGGGAGAGGCCAGGGGGATCTTGCAAGTACTGAAGTGCCCTCGTTAGGGGTGGGGAGGAGGCACCAGGGCCATCGGCCTGTAGGAGCTGTGGTGTTGGCCCTGCCCTAGCTCTCGGGGAGAAGGCTGGAGTGTGGAGCTGTTGGCGTTTCTGTGGGCCATGAGTCCCTTGGGGATGGGTGTCCTGACTGCTCTGGACGCCGGTGTCCAGCACAGGCTGTGGACCTTACCAGTGCTCAGAAGACGCTGGAGTGAGGATCACTGGCAGTCTTTCCTGGGGGCCCTGGGGCACAGGGCTGCCCGGGCTTAGTCCTGGGCCCTCGCTGGGTGCACGTGGGCCTCCCGCCCACCCACCCGGCTGGGGGTGGCTCCCGAGTCACCTGAGCCAGGGTTTGCGAAGTGCCTTTTTGAGTGTCAGGAATCTGCAGTGGTTTTTCGGGGACCGCCAGTTTGGTTGTGCTTGGAGAGGACAGGCGGGTGGGAAATTCGGTTCTCCTGCCTGGGGGTACCTGGTAGGTGGTGAGACTTTGGTGTCCAAGGCCTGGGGACCTGCCTGGACCACCCCATGTGCACTAGGGACCGGCAGCCCAAGTAGAGACGCCCCCGCCCCCGCCTGTGGTGTGCTGGGCGGCCCTGCACTGGGGCGGGCCCCTGCCTGCGAGGCCTGCTGGTCGTCGGGAGCTGTACTTGCAGCTCGTCGCCCCTCGGATCCCTTTCGGTCCTAGACCGGCTTCCTTGAGGAGGCCTGGGCCCTGTCTGCGCTCTTGCTAAGCCCCTCCTTGGTGCTGGGCTCAGAGGGTTCAGATGTAAGCCCTGGCTCTGAATGTGGGAGTGCCTGGCAGTCCTTGGTGGGAGCTTGTGTGGGAGGTCAGCAGAGTGTCAGGCTCTGTGTAACCAGGACTTGCTGCCTGTGCCCTGGGGGCTCTGGCTCCCACATTGTGGTCCCTTTGCGTCTTGGGCGGAGGGTAATCTTCTCAGTGGCCAGCAGTTGGCCCTTGGGGCCCCAGGGATCACCGGAGCGAGGAGTCTGAATCTGTGCCTTCTTCACTAGCACGAGCCACGAGCCCCCGAGGGTACCAGTGCAGGGTCTGGCCCTGAGGGTCTGTGGGAGATGCAGGCCCGGGGTCAAGTGTTCCCGGGTGCAGGCTCACGTCCATGCCCCCCGTCCCTACCCTGTTGTCTGCTCACTGTGACGTAGCTGTGTGCAGTCAGAGAGCTGCCGGTGCTGCCAGCACTAGAGGTTTCTTTCCAAAGTGGAGTCTGAGTGAGGTTTCTGTGCTCTGTCTCCTCCCTGCAGATGGTCACTGTGAGCCTGGTCAGTGACAGTGGGGGTGAAGCATGCCAAGTGCCCTCCAGGCGGGGGGCAGGGTGACACCCAGCTGTGTGCTGCTGCGGCTGAGCGCTCCCCTCGGAGCGGGTCCCAGCCCCGGGTCAGCGTGGACTTGGCTGCTGCTTCCTCGGTGGCTCTTCTCCGGGTCTCAGCCCCGTCCTGAGATAGGAGTGGGGTGGGGTCTCCCTGCTCCAACGCCCTCTCACTAGGCCCATGCTTCTCTGCAGCGCGAGGTGGACCGCAACCAGGAGCTCCTGACGCGCATCCGGCAGCTGCAGGAGCGGGAGGCCGAGGCGGAGGAGAAGATGAAGGAGCAGCTGGAGCGCCACAGGCTGTGCCAGCAGAGCCTGGACGCGGCCGGCAGGAGACTGCGGGAGAAGGAGGACGGCCTGGCCGAGGCCAGCGAGGTGAGGGCTGTGGCTCGGCCCATTGTGCCGCCCTCTCCCCACCGGCTGTTTTTCCAGGGAGGAGGGCGAGTGCGCCCCGCGGCTGCCGCTGCAGCTCCGGGAGCGTCCCGCTGTCTGACTCCGCTCCCTTTCTGCATGGTTGTGGTCGTCGTGAAAGTATTAACTTTTCCTCCTGTGGTTTTCGGTTAGTAAGGCGAACATTTTCTTAGTCTTTGTAATTAGGAGTGTTAGGAGTTGACTAACCTGGTTAGTGGCTGACTAATCGTTCTTTGTCATTCTTCAGACGCCTGGTTGGTCCGTGTGCCCGCACCCTGATGCAGATGCGCAGTTGGGGGGAGGCGTCGCGCTTACAGCCTTCTTGC